AACCTTTGTGGGAGTCCAGGATTCCAGTGCAGAAATTCCAGCACACTGATGGAAAAAAAAAATCTGAGTTTAGACGCCTTGGAGAAGTCAAGAGGAACAGTTTCATTTTAAATGTGTCACCCTCAAATAAGGGGACACAACCAAGGTGCCAAAGAGACTCCCTCAGCCCATGATCTCTCTTGTAGGGGAAAGAGAGAGCGAGTGAGTAAGTGCCCAGAATCCCCAGGCATGCAGGATGCTGCCCACGTGGCACATCTTTTTCTTGCCTTCCCCATATTAGAGAGGTGATTTGTAAGTGTGGGGAGGTAGGGAAAGGCTGGGAGCGTAGCAGTCAAGGCTTGGAACTCAACAAATGGATGTTACTAACTAGCTTAGAATTGTTCCCACTAACCAATTCATGGTCTCCATCAAGACGCTCACATATGAGCAGCTAAGGACACCTTCTCTGCAGACCCTAAAGAGCCCCACAGGCACCAAATACTTCACGTGTTTCTACCACCCTCTCCCCACATGGCTGGACTCCTGCATGCACACTCCCATGGATGGTAAATTGGTAACTAAGAAAGTCCAAACCTTAGGAGGTAGAGAGCAAACACAGAGTGCCAGCCCAGCTCTGTGGAACTGGGAGAAGATCAAAAACCTGAGCAATTCAGGAAACCACCCTACAGAAAACAAATGGGAGGCTGTCAGCACCCAGCCTGGCTTTGTGAGATTGAGAGAAGGCACACAATGTCAAGAGCCATCCCCCAGCACCTCCACCCAGAGGACACTACGTCTATAGAACGAGAACGTCTATAGAAAAGATCTGAGAAATCCTCAGAACCCCAGGCTGGACTGGCTGGTGAAGTTATGTCTTTTGCAAAGTGAATAGAAGACTGGAAGGGGTGATTACTTCTTAAAATGTGAAGACAGCAACTCAACACTTCAAGGAACATGAAATATCAAGGAAATATCAAGACACCATCAAAGGAATACAAAATTTTCCAGTTACTGACTCTAAAAAAAAATATATAGAAAAGATTGACAAAGCTAAGAGCTTGGTTTCTGAACGATAAACAAAATTGACAAATCTTTGGCTAGATATCTAAGGAAAGAAAGAGAGAAAACTCAAATAAATAAAACCAGACTTGAAGAGTAGACATAACAACTCAATACATATGATCACAAGAGATTACTGAAAACGAATGTATGTATATTCATGTATGACTGAAAACCCATGCTGTACACCAGACATTGACACAACATTGTAAATTGACTATACCTCAATAAAAAAAACTTAAAAAACAAGAGATTATTATGAACAGTTGTATGCCAACAATTGAATATCCGAGAAAAAATGGATAAAATTCTACAAATATACAACCTACCAAGACTGAATCAGGAAGAAATAGAAAATCTGAACAGACTAACAACAAGAGATTGGATTGGTAACCAAAAACCTCCCAGCACAGAAAAGCCCAAGATTAGATGGTGTCACTGGTGAATTCCACCAAACAAAGAAGAGTCAATATCAATCTTTCTCAAACTGTTCCAAAAAATTGAAGAAGAGGGAAGACCCCCACATTTTACAAGGCCAGCATTACCCTGATACCAAAATTGGATAAGGACAGTGTAAAAAAACTATAAACCTATATCCCTGATGAATATAGATGCAAAAATTCTAAATAAAATATTAGCAAACCAAATTCACCAACAAGTTAAAAGGTCATACACCATGATCGAGTTGCACTTATCTCTAGGTTGCAAGGATGTTTCAACATATGCAAATCAGTAAGTGTGATATACATTATTACTAGGATGAAAAATAAAAATCATATGATTGAATAAATAAATGCAGAAAAAAGTTGACAAAAGTAGTACAATTAACTATAACTGTAATAAGTAGGCTATGCATACATAAAATAAACAAATGTAAAATGTAACACCAAAAACATTAAACGTGGTAGGGGAGAGTAACAATGTAGTGATTTTAGAATGCCTTCAAACTTAAGTGACTACGGTGCCTACAGAAGACTCACTTCCGGGCAAAAGACATACACAGACTGAAAGTGAAGGGATGTCTATTCAGTTCCTCTACCAATTTTTTAATGATTGCTTCATTTCTTTGTTGAGTTGTATGGGTTTTTATATATTCTGGGCATTAAACCTTTATCTGATAGATCTTTTGCAAATATGTTCTCCCATTCTGTACTCTGCCTTTTCATTCTGTTGATTGTTTCTTTTGCTGTGCAGAATCTTTTAAGTTTGATGTCGTCTATTTATTGTTTTTTGCTTTTGTTCCTTGTTCTTTTGGTGTCATTTCCAAAAAAAATTATTGCCAAGATCAATATCTGGGAACTTCTTTTCTCTGTTTTCTTCTCACAGTTTTACATCCCAGGGCTTACGTCTTTAACCCATTTCAAGTTATTTCTGTGAGTAGTGTAAGATACAGGTCCAATTTTGTTTTTCTGCATGTGTTTCTCCAATTTTCCTAACACCATTGATTGAAGAGTGTATCCTTTCTCCACTGGCTCCCTTGACTATATATACAGGGGTTAATTACTGGGCTCCCTACTCTGTTCAGTGGCTCAGGGAAATAGCTCTCTGTGTCCTTTTTTATGCTGGTACAATACTGTTGTAATAACTATATCTTTACGTATAGTTTGAAATAGGATGTGTGGTAGCTCCAGCTATATTCGTCTTTCTCAGGATTGCTTTGGTTATTCTAGGTCTCTTGTGGTTTCATACAAATTTTAGGATTTTTTCCTATTTCTGTGAAAAATACCTTTGGAAACTTGATAGGGATTGTACTGAATATGGCTTTGGGTAATATGGATATCTTCACAACATTAATTCTTCTGATTCATAAACATGAGACAACTTTCCATCTGTTTCCATCGTCCTCAATTTCTTTCATCAAAGTCTTATAGTTTCCATTGCACAGAGCTGTCACTTCTTTGCGTAAATTTATTCCTAAGCATTTTATTGCTTGGACGGTGTTGTGAATTTATTTCTTTGTCAGATATTTCAATTTAACTGTTTATTAATGCAACAGATTTTTGTATGTTGACTTTATCCTGCAACTCTACTGAAGTTGTTGGTTATTCCCAACAATTTTATGAGTCTAAGTCTTCAGGGTTTTCTATAAGTGAGATCATATCATGGCAAAGAATGAGTATTTTATTTCTTTCTCTCTAATTTAGATGACTTTTAGTTCTTTATTGTGCTGGATTGCTCTAGCTAGGACTTCCGGCACTATGTTGAATAAGCTTTTTAAGTGTCTGGTCTACGGCCTTTACCAGTGAGATATTTTTTTCCCCAAAGAAGACACACAAGTAGTCAACAGGTACATAAAAAGATGCTCAATATCAGTAATCATGAGGGAAACAAAGGCTGGTCAAACCCACAGTGAGATGCCACCTTACACTCAGTTTGAAGACAGCCATCTTTCAGAGGACAAGACATATAAAGCAGTGATGAAGACGTGGAGAAAAAGGGCCACTTGTGCACTGTTGGTGGGGATGCAAACTGGTGCAGTCACTGTGGAAAACAGTGTGAAGGACCCCTGAAAAATTAAAAATAAAACCACCATGTGATCCAGGAATTCCACTTCTGAGTAGATGAGCAAAGGAAAACAGTGTATCAAAGAGGTATCTGAACTCCCTTGTGCATTGCAGCATTGTTCCAATAGTGAAGACAAGGAGGCAATCCATGTGTTCCTCAGTGAATGAATGGATAGTGAGGAAGTCTCATATATATTGCAATGTATTGTTATTCAGCCACGAGAAAGAAGAGCGTTGAGGGCATTACGTGAAGTGAGATAAGTTCGCCAGAGAAGGACAAATAGTGTATGGCGTCAAATGATGTGGAATCTGAAAAAGCTGAAGTCATAGAAACAAACAAAATGGTAGTTACCAGAGGCTGGATTTGATAGGGAATTGCAAGGGTACAAACTTGCAACTAGTAGATAATGAAGTTCTGGGGATCCTATGCGAAGCGTGGTGATTATGGTCAACAATACTGGTTTATATACTGCAAACCTGCCTGGAGACTTGATCATAAATGTTCTCACCACAAAAAAGAATTGATAATTATGTCACATCATAGAAGCGTTTTCTTACTCTCTGGTGGTTATCAATGCAGTAGATGAATGTATCAAATCAACAGGTTATGCAACTTAAAATTACACAATGCTATGTGGCAACTGTATCTCAATTTAAAAAGCAAGTAATTTTTAAAGTGTAAGAGATAGCTGGCTTCCCCTAGAATGGGTGATTCAAGAGAACAAGGAGAGAGTGGGAATGTCTTTTATCGCTTAGCTACAAGTCACACGCCATCATCTCCACTGATAAACTATGAGGAGATTACATGGGGGCAGGAATATTAGGAGGTGAGATGACCGGGGGCCATCATAGAGGCTGGTTCCCACAGTCCTACACAACAAAGATTTCTCCACGGTTCCTTCAGGATAACCTGCTGGATATTTATGCTTTGAAAGACCTATTTACAATTCTCTTAAGTCTAAAATCAAACTGCGTTTTATGTGCGAACACAATGTAGGTTTTGGACCATCTAATACACACTAAATTTTCTAGGAATGCAACTTCTGTGTAAATAGAAGGAAAGATTGTGACTATTTGGTTTATAACTGTACTAAAAATTTTTCATCATTTCGGATAACCTCACTTGGGCTATTTTGGCCACACAGCACACCTGGCAATTCTGGTTTAATTCCCCTAGTTGGTAACAATTCTCCATATAAGTGCAACTATCTAACCACTTCACTGACTCAAGCGATGCTAAATATTTATGTATCAATATATATCAGTTAATTATAAATAAGGTTTTCTCCTTTATATTGTAATTAGATTACTCTAATGGTTTCAATTATGTGTAGGGGATGTCATAGAATTTATGAATTTCATTTCAGGATGCTAAAAGGAGAATTACAGTAGGTTTTAAGAAAAGTTGTGAGAGTGAGCCCTTCCGCAAAGAAAGGAAGAGAGAACAGAGGAATGTTTGCCAGGGCTGGGGAGTGAGAAGGGTCTGGAAACAGGTGGCAGCGCTAGGGGACTGCATCCTTTTCACATTATGGTTGCAGAATTTATGCACGTTAAAACATCACAGAACTGTACATCAGAAAAGTGAATTTTTACTGTTTGTAAATAAAATAAAATAGAAATTCATCTGGAAAAAAAGAAAAAAGGTTGTGAGGGTCACATAATGTAGTGGAGTATTGTTTTAATCCAGCATCCTTTTTCACATTTATAAACTGAGGACAGAAGAGGCTGAACATTTGAAACATTTCATGTCTAATTAGTGGAGGAACTTGGAGGAAAACCCAGTCCTTAACATTAGCCCAGTGCAGACTCAATTGCATCCAGTTCCAGGCACTGACTTTCTAATTAATCGCTACACTGTGAACACGGATCAGCCTTGATCAGCTGTTGGCCACAGTGGTCCAGGAAACTCATTCTTTTAATGGCTAGCCTCTTTTCCTCCCCAGCCCTCCAAGGAAAACACAGTTTAAATCTATCTTACAAATTACTTCTTACTACCTCAAAAGTTACTCTCTCCCATCATACCTGAACAGTTGATTGTATATTTAACAATATGGCCCCATGAGGACTTTTGTAAGTTGCAGTGAATTTTGTGTGCGCAAGATGTATATGTCTGTTATTGTAATTTTATTAGGCAGAGGAAAATTTTACCACAAGCGACATGAATCATACATGCAGATCTTTTTTTTTTTACATAAACTTGTAAATAAAATCCTTGTATTAAGAAAAGGAAATTTAAGCATTGGAAATGACTTTTCTGAGGAATGAAGCCCATTGGGGCGATGAACAATCAGAAGAAAACTCTTAAATCTATTAAAATTTAATTTAATCAATTAAATCTACTAAAATTCATTAAAATTAAATCTATTAAAAATCCAATTCATGTTTCCCAAGTAAATTCTTTCATTGTAATAAAGACTGGGTTCCTAGCTATGGAATTGTATCCTTGAAATATGGATTTGGCTGCAAGGAATGGAGACTGAAAATGTCAGCGGTTTAAATAAGATGGAAATGCATCTCTCTCTCAAGTAAAGGGCCAGAGGGATGCAGCCAAGGACTGCAAAGAAAGTTCCTCACTGATGGAGTGGTCAGGGAGTCAGGCGTCTCCAGTCTCACTGCTTCTGTCTTTCCTAGAGCGTGACTCTCATCCTTATGGTCCCACATGGCAGTATCACATCCGAGGTAGCTGCTAAATGAAAGAACACACACACACAAAAGGGCGTGAGTTTCTGAGAGCAGATCCTGAAAGTTCTCATCCCAAGGGGAAAAGGTTGTAACTCCACGAGGTGATGGATATTAAGTAAACTCACTGTGGTGATCATTTTGCAACATATGTAACTCAAGCCATTACGCTGTGAGTTTAAACTTAGGCTGGTGGCTGTATGTGAAATAAACCTCAATAAAAATGAAAACCAAAGACCCTTAGCCATCTGTCTCTGGCTGGCTGCTTTCCTTTATGTATCTTGCAACTTTTTAGCACGAATGTTTTTACAAACAGAGGAAGATTGAAAATATGCATTAAGCGCTTTTTGACTTTCCATCTTGAATCAACAGTTAATATTCTCTCTGTGTTCCAACCCTCTCTCCCACCTCCCTTAAGCGTGTGTGTGTCTTCAGTAACCAAAACATGTGAAAATACATTTTAGAAATCATTTTCCGCCCTTAAGATTTCATCTGCATTCTCCAACCTACTCACAATTTAATTATCACAGAGAAGAAAATTAACAATATTACCTGCTATTCAGATTTTTCCAAATGTTCCAGGCAAGGCTGACAAACCACATTCAGTTTTTATGTTTCTTCAATCTTCTCAAAGAACAGTTCCCCTAATTTTTTTTTTTTTTTGCTTGTGTCTGGCGTTGTCCAGGGCACCCTCCATTGTAAAGGTGCATTTTTGCATTTGCAATTTGAAAGGCATCTCTTAGGTGATAATTTAGCCTCCCGCTCATATGTTTTTCCCCAAACGTAGCTCACTCAAAGGGTGACGATCTTTGTCTGAATGGATGACTGCATAGATGTTTACAAAATATAAAATTTCTAATCATATCATTGCTTATGCATTTATTAGCTGCTGCCAGTTGCGTCTTAAGTAACAGACACCCTGGAAGATGCCACATATTAAGGAAGACACCTTTTTATGTTTCACTGGTGTATGTTATGGGCTGAGCTGTCTTCCTCTTCGTCCAAATTCATACGCAGAAGGCTCAGAATGTGACTAATTGGAAAGAAGGCCGTTAAAGAGGGGATTAAATTAAAAGGAGGCCATTCAAATCCAATCTGACTGGTGTCCTCA